ACAGAGGCGAGTAATTTGGAGGCGATGGAGATCAGACTGATTCCTCTATGGTTACCGCATTCCGAGCGCGAGCCGCCTTTGAAGATAAGAACAATAACGGAGCGGCTCCAGTCGGTTGGGACAACCTCCTGCTCACACAGTTTCACCAGTATTTCATGCAAAACATCAACAAAAGCAGAGCCTCCGAATTTGAAAAGAGCTGGAGGAAGATCATTTGGTCCCGCGGCTTTGTTCAACTTCAACAGTCCACTCTCATGTTCGACTTCTGAGCGAGAGGATATATCCAAAGGGACAGCCCACGGAGCAGGGCGATCACTGGCCGATTAAATTACTTTGCAAAATGCTCAGCCCAATGCTCAGCTCTTTGCGAGTTTCATTGTGTTCACTTCCAGCCGGGAAATGCCGGCGAGCGTCGATAAGCTCAAAAGACCGAGAAAAGACCCAAAGTCCATGTTGGCTATTAGACATACCACATGGAATCTGCTTGCTGCTAGTAAGGTGTGGCAAACATGTGCCCAGTGACAAACAATTGTCTCCAGTGAGCGCTTACTCAACTCCCATGTCAGCGTACTTCGATACGCATTCAGAACAGCTGGCTTTGTCAGTTGGCTTGTGTCAATGCGCTCACAGCGTCGTCGGGCGCATCCGCCAAAACGCATCCGCATGTCAGCACATAAAAGTGCATGATCGGTGTCCACACATGTGCTCCAAATCGAGCGACAGTTCTGGATGCAGCCTCTCCAGCGGTAACTTATCACAATGTGATCGATCTGCGTCCAAGGCTGTTTCGAGACTGCTGGGGCCAAGTCACCCTCCGGCGAGTGCTGTGTCGGAAAATAGTGCTTGCAGAAATAAGCGAGCATCTTCACACAAATGAAGTAACCGCTCACCGTTATCATTACGGGAGCCTACACCGTGTTGACCGCAAAGATGAATTACATCAGTGGACAACTTTCCAACTTGTGCGTTCAGACCCCCAGCCAGCACAACAGTGTCCGTTCTTCTTCTGTGGCGGAGGAACTGGGTTAGTTGGCGGTAGAAGTCGTTCTTTACCGAATCATCGCTACAGTTTGTGGGCGCATAGGCAGCGATGATGAATAGACATCTATTAGTCCCGCGCGACTTCGAAGCTTTAAACGTGCCAGCGAACCGGACCGCACACATCCGGCTACTGATTGGAATCCAATCAACCAGAGCAGGTTCAGCCCGGAGACTCAGGGCAATGCCAACACCAGCTTGGCCGATGCTCGAAGCTGCATCGTCACCGGATAGGCGCAATGAGAAAATACTGCTTGCGTCACCTGAAGGGGATCGCAGAGTGAGCACAGTGCTCGAGTCTTGCAGGCGGGTCTCCGATAAGCAGCAGATATCGATCGAGAGGGTCTCCAATGTTCGGGCAAGTGCTGCCCGTGGACCGATCTGTAACAACGTGCATACATTGAGGCATGCAAAGCTGGAGGCGGATCGAGGGCTCCAAATGGAAGCCGATGAACTGGAATGGACCACTTGCTTGGACATGGGCTTGTTGACAGGAGAGGAATGACGCTCCGCGTTCACATGTGAGTTGAAACTAGAAGATAAACGCCTAGCAAAGCATGTTGTGGGAGGGCCAAGAATCGGGGGGTTGAAAACTGGGGGGATCTAAATGAAGTTGGAACGGGGCGGTAAGAGTGAAAAAGTGTAAGAGGGGGAATAAGAAGACGGGAAGGCTTGGGCAGTAGCATCCAAACCCCTATCCACCCTGCTCGATGCAGCAGATAGGGCACCGTTGACTATCCTCTGCGGTGGCCAGAGCATCAAGAAATTGTTTGAGGAAAGATTCATTGTATTGCGTGGGTAGGATACTGTCAGACTGCCCAGGCCTAGACAGGAGAACGATTAGGGTTCGCAACCGAAGCTATTGGTTCAAAAACCTGACCGAAAGGCAGCGGGTGTGGCAGTGAGCTACAAGTAGTCCGTTTTAAGGAATAAGGAGCCACCCTCATTCCAACCCCTAACCTGGAGGACCAGGAGGCTAAGTTTGTCTGGCCTCTAACCATTGACCAATCTGGTATGAGTGACTCTGAAGGTGCAAAAGCACCAACCAGCATAGCTCAATGGATCGCTGAGGCACACAAACCATCGCACCACGGTAAGGTCCAGCCCCATTGCGATGGATGAAGGTGAACGAAGTGCCATTGTAGCTTAACGTTTTTCGGCATACTGGGTTTAAGTCGCTGTGCGACAGGTCCGGAGCTCAGATTTAAAGTGATTCTTGTCTCAAGGTTAATCTATTTGGCAGATGGACAGGAGCACCCAGGGCGGTGGCTTGCGTGGAAACATTGACTGATGACATTTTTTCCAGCACGGTAACAATTGGTGCACATTTTAAATAACGTATATTATTAGACTATCGAACTGGAGTCATGAAAGCATACCTCAATAATGTCACGCTTCCTAACTTTAGGAGGCTTCGGTCGTCGCATCTCCTGCTTTGGTGGTTGGCTATCATCGGGTTCCGTTGATACGACGCGACGGAAAGCATCCTTTACTGCCGTCTCGCTGGATTTAGCGGGGGTACACACTGTGCTTAAATGCTCGACAGCGGTGGTTTGTAGCTCGACCTGTTTTGAAACTCGCTCCTTTGCGATTAAACGACTGATGACCTCTTCTGCGATGTCCGATGCTACGTCGCTGTCAATGTCCGAGTTCTCTTCTACCAGCAGCTCTTGATGAAGTTCGTCATCGACCTCCGAAACATTTGAAACTGGAACGCGATACATGATTGAGTTGGTCGATCTGTGAGCAAAATAAAATAACAAAGTGTGAACACAGATCGCATAGGATATCATGTAAGAGAGGCCACATTGTTCCATGAAACTCATCAGAAAAATAGAAGTTGTTGATTTAGTAAGGCATAGTGAAAAAGTTTAGTGCGTCAGTATATAGGACGTAGATGGACGATAGTAAAGTTATTCCGAACTATCGCAGTTTGCGTATAACAGATAGCAGAAGGCTGGAAGTGTTACGAACATGTTCGCATCCCACAGAAGCTGATTCGATGTACCCGCCCATGACTAAAAGGACAACGAGTCTGCTTTAGCACTCGGAGTTCGCGAGTTCGAGCTTTCGTAGGGAACCCAATGACCCTCGCAGTATCCTTAGCCTACGCGCGACTGGTGGTGGGTGCATGAAAGTGAAGGGTCAGTATGGCGTACCGGCGTACTGTCGAGGCTTATTTTTAATTCGATGTGCATAGTATGCCATGTGCAGCCGCCCAAGTAGCGAAGAACTGATACACGCTGTGTCTGTAGTAAAGCGCGTACCTTACCAAGCGACGCACGCAAAACGATCGGTGACAGAGCCAATAGGATGGATAATAGTTATGTAACTGCTCCACTCCCGGAGAAACCAAACAAGCAATTTTGTAAAATAAATATAATCCGACCACAGAAGTGCGGCGGTTAGGGTTTCCACGACTGGTATCACCGGTAAAAATTAACAAATGGTAATAAGGTTGAACGCAAACATCCTCCTCCTCAATACACGTTAGCTGAGGGTGAGAATCACATCTCAATAAATAAAAATATGAGACACTAAACATTACGGACAAGAAAAAACCAAACGAAAAACAAGTAGCAAGCATCGAATAATTCACCGGCATTTAGAATGAGGTAGAAGCTAAAGAGGAGGGAGGGAGACAGAAACTCGAGACATAAACGCGAGTGAGGTCGGTTCTTCGCCATGTAAACCAGTGTATCCAACCAAACGTGTTCATCTTCCTTCGGACCTCAGCCTGGCAGTCGGGAAACAGTAACCGACACTAATTTCGAAGAGTCGGCGTTCATTCCCCAAGTTCAACTCATCGCTGCGCTTCACCTCCTCTACTACCACCTAAAGCTCCGGCGCGCAAACAACGCACGACATGGGAGTCGGTGGGTTGGCATGCGCAACATATCGCTAAGCCTTCGGAGCCTGGTACGTGAAATAACGGTGCTGAGCGGTTCGTTTCCGATTTCTGTTCCATAAACAAGGCGTCGAACAAGATCATTTCTCACGTGGTGTACCCACTAGATATGAGGCAAACTGCGGAGGCACCGGTGGTCGAACGTAGCTACCGTCTTTAAGTCGGCTGATCACACCGCGATCAGTTACTGCTGGAGAAGTGACATCGACAACTACCGCTCCAACTGGAGCACAAGCGTGGAGTCCGATCACGCCCTCGTGCGTTTCGGCGGACGTCCGCAACGTCGCCGTGAGTGCATGGAAACCATCAAACTAGTGAATCCAGGTGTTCTGACTGTGTATCAAAGTGCGTTTGCATGCGGGCTGAGTAAGCGCCAAATGAACACAGTCGAAGATCATTGGTCGTCTCTTCGCCAGGCGTTACTGTCAGTAGTCATGTCTTCATGTGGCACATCAAATTGCCAACCTAGACATTGCTTCCTACGCAGTCCCTGGAAGTTTTGGATGCTCGCAGACACATACCAGCTGGGAGTGAACACAAGGAGACTCGCAAAGATCTCCGGCCATCTTTGCGTGGTAGCCTGAAAAGAGACTGTAAAGCGTTATGGTCTCATAGTACCTCGGACATGAAAACAGTCTCGGCTTTTGGTAACTATCGGAAGTTATTCCGTCTGATACAGAAAACTAGCAGCAAAAGACATGGTGTTAGCGAGACCATACACGACGACAGTAGACAGCTGATGCACAGTTTTTCAAAACGTTTGGAGCGTTAGAGTGAACACTACAAAGCAGTTTAACCAACGTGAGTTATCACACCATTTTGAGCATTGACAGCCCTTCTCCATGTGTCATCTCCGCCCTCACGAGCGGAAGAAGAGAGTGAGATCAGAATGTTGCAAAGGAATAAGGCCGCATGAACAGATAGAAACCACCCGCCCACTTCAAATATGGTAGACCTGCTCTTGAAGAGAATTTACACGAGTTACTAGGGAAACTGTGGGAGCAGGAAACCGTGCCAACAGACTGGAGTCGCTACATCATAGTCCCAATATGAAAGGAACACTCCCGTTCAAAATTCGGCATTCAGAGGGGTCAGTCTGATACCGATTGCCTCTAAATTGCTTGCGTCCGTCCTTCTCCACAGACTCGCTGTCACCTGTTACAGCTAGATCCGCGAGGAACAAGTCGAGCCTCGTTGAGATCGAGACTCCATTGACCACATCTCTACATTATGTCAGTTGTTGGAACACCGCTATATTTAGTAGCGACCTACTGTAATCATGTTCCTCGAGATCAAAAGTGTCTTTGATTCGGTTGCTCGATGTGACCTATGGGACTGTGCTCAGGAAAGATGTGCCCGAGAAATGTGTAAACATTATCAGAGCGCAGCACGCGCATATTTTGGGTAGAGCGAGGGTTTATGGAGGTGTGTTATCTGTTTGTTGGGGTCGAATTTGTGATATGTCAGTGTGCCATGGTGTTGATTGGTTGTTGTGAGTGTTGCGTTATGTTCATTTGTGTGTGTGGTGGTGGCGTCTGTGCGTCGCTCGGTTTCATTGTGACGTGTTAGTGGGGGAAGAGAAGTATGTCTGTGAAAGAGAAATGTGATGTGTGTTGGGTGTATTGTGCAGCAGTGTACTGAGGTGATGATGTGATTGGAAGGCGTGGGCGGTTAGGTGCAGCCGCAAGCTTGGCTGCACGTGCGGTAGAAGTGAATGAGCGACGTTATGTTGTTGGTTCCGAATGATTGTTGTGTGTATATGAGCACTGTATATTTGATTAGGAGAGCGAGTAATGTAATGTAATTCTACAACTCCAATGAAATATGATTAAAACGTGTAAATAAAAACAAATAGTAACTTTAATCTGTCAATACGTCGTTTTTGAAGTTCTCGTGTGATATCGTTAGAAACATCTATGTCACAACAAGTTAGGACTCGCAGATTCGAGATATCATTGTCAGTGGGTAATCGTTCAGGGGATGTAACACTGGATAAATGTAAAATGATTCAATGAGTTTGCTTCCACCATATGCCCCGGCAAACTGTTCCAGATACTGATCACATGGCGCTCAAAGCACAGCAGATGGCACCGACAGCTTGTGTCGGTGCCTGTGTGTGCAGCAGGTTATTTTCAAGTGAATCACTGACCTTCGCATGGGGAAATCACCTACACGTGGAATGCGGTAGGTAATGTTGAGGTGGATTTACACTCTACGATAGTACAAGATGTACAGTCCGACTTTTTTGCACCAGTGTACGTAGGGTAGACCCCATAAACTGGGGGCGCGCCTGGTAGCGACGTGTTGGATCCGTCCGATCTTCTGCGCCTACTCTCGCTTTGGGTGGTCGGCCGATAAGCGAGCTAGCCACATTGGGGTTCTGATAGAGAAGAGGCGTGTCAACCGGTCAAGCCGCGATGTAGCAACTGTGTTGGAGCGTCCAGAGCATACGTAATCCGCTTCGGTGTATCCTGTTCGTGTTGTCCATGGACTTCAAATCGCAGCGTGATGGTACATCTAGTCCTTCACGGAAAGCGTGGTATGTAGCAGCTGGTCGTTCAGGGTGTAGATTCGGTCGTCACCACTCATCTCTAGGTTTGTGAATTGTTTCACTAGATGGCGGACATCTGCAGACCGCATGGAGGGCGGTTAAGGTCTTAGTGAAATAGGTCACTGTCGTCGGAAGTGCTTATCATTCTAGTTTCAGGATGTCTACGAACAAGGGCACACGGTGACCGAAGATGCTGAGGTAGGTGGTTGACATAGACTGGGAGCACTGTACGCCCCAACACCGCTCGTTGGGATTCGCCACTTTTAGCGGAATACCAGTAGGTTAGATGGCTGTCAATTTGTGAACTCCACTTTAGTCTGACGAGAAACTCGCGGACCGGTGCAGTGAGCCACCGACACCGTAGACTCAGCCTGTGGAGGAATACCTAATGGTTCACCTTGTCGAACGCTTTACTGAGATCCATGTGGGTTAAATCGACCTAATTCCCTTGGTTCACTGTATGTAATCATTCATGCCTCGTCACGAGCAGGGGGGTAATGCATGGGTAGCGTAACATGAACGGATGCTGTGCACGTGTCATTATATATGGTTGGCGGTTGGTTATCTATGCTTGGCGTCATCTGCTTTGGGATTTGCCTGTCACGTAGATGTGAACCGCGTTTCATCAACGGAGACGGCCCACACTCCTTCACAGGCAAACACAAGCACGCTGTATTTGGGAATACAACGCACACACGAGGCGGTGGCTGGACCGTAGTCCGCTCCACACTGAGTGCATGGAACCATTCTTTGATCCTAACACGGCCACAAGAACCGTGCACCCTGTCCCCTCCAGCAACGACCAACTGTCTCCTAGAGCCAGTATGGACGAGGTAGTGGGTAATAGACAGGTAGCACTTTGTCAACATGCACATCAAGCGCACCCACACCAGTGATATCAAGCAACAACCAATCGCTTGAGAGAAAGCTAGCAAAGAAAACAAATCGGGTAATGCATAAGGAAAGGGTGACAAAAACTTAAAATTAATGAGCATAAGAAATAAGTTGTTTACAAAAGAATCCGAATTGAGTTCACGAGGTCAGAAAGTATACTTTACGGAAATGCCACAAACACGAAAATGTTATCGAAATTAACCACAATTGGCTTAAGCGACGTGTGCAAGTTTATAGAAGAGCGTACAGGTAGACATTTATTTGAGAAAAAAAAGCATTAGGACAAAATTGAAAACCCACCACCTGAAATAAATAGACTTGGCACGCAAGCACGATGTTAGTAAATCGAATGCAGCATACCTACAAACATT